CACTACTAGATGCAAAAAAGAGACATTTTTGCGATCTTTGCCATGTTCTGCGCATGAATTTACTCAATTTCTAGTAATTACAACTTCATATTTTGTAAAAGTTATTCTATTTACATTATTTGTTATGGTAGATGCTTGTCAGGCAATCAGATCTAAGCACATCACCAAAAACGTACAGTCCCCAAAATAAATCTCCAAAGCTATGGTAAATATACAGCTACTGACCTTCAAAATCGTGTTTTCTTTACCAATTCACTGTAATAAAAATGAACATTTTGTCATCACTTTGGGAAACTGTGCCAAACACCTTAAAACACATGTCACATGCCAACTTTACTTCATTTTTGTCCTCAGGGAATAGATACATCTGGAATCATAATCACAGATAAAAACCTTGACAAAATTGCACATGAGCCCAGCCCTTCTCTCCAACACCTACCTTTTCATAACATTTAATACAATATTAATATCGGTTACTAAAAAGGCTTCCAACCTTTACATTTCTGACATAACATGTTCAAACCCATATTTCACACTTCTTGTTCTGTTTTAAGTTCAGTGGATTTAACAGGACTCTGGAGAGAAGATCATGTGGTTGAAGATTTCCCTCCCTCTTTGACACCCGTAGAGGCAGTTTTGGAATTGTTTAAATAGCTGTGGCTATATAAACTGAAATATGTGAGACATTGGACATCTTATTTCTCTCTCACTTCTATAGATACATGCTTGTATCTTCCTCTGAAACCAATTGCTTGTACCAGGGAACAACAATTTCATCACAACATCTGGGCAAAACCTTCGGAATATTTTCCTTTTAAACTGTATTGTTTCTCTTTCCTGCATATGCCTGGTTTACCAGACAAATACAGTTAGCTAGTATATATAATAATAGTATTTGGTCTTTTTTATCTGTGATTGACAGTTTTTCAAATCAAAATAAAACACATTCTTAGTCGATCATCTTCCTGAGAGTGCACTCCTGTTTTAAGCTCGGTTTGCTTCTGAAGACAGACAGAGATCTCACTCCATCAGGGGTAAATGGTGGCATTATAGATCCAACAGAACCCATACTCTCTGAAAGATGCTTGGCTTAATATTTAGTAGCTAATTCCTGAACTTATATTTTCACTGCTTGTTTTTATCAAAAACTCATCAGCTGGTATTGCAAAGAAAAAGAATCTGAAAACTTTGAAAATATCCATTTATGATTGTGTTTGTAATTAATCCCATGCTGGAAGTACCTCGGGCAGCTCACTGTATGGCTTTGTTCATGTCAGAACAGGGAGAGCAACCTCTTTTTGTTACATATTTAACAGCTTTGAAAGACATTTTTTTAAACAGCAAATGTACTAGACAGCTTTAAAGCAGAGGACATTAAATAGGGGCCAATTATTCATTCAGCAGCTCTACGTGCATCAAAAACATGCATACCACCAAATTTTCCTGAGACAAACCACTTAATTTCCCATGACTCAGACACCATTTCTGTACTAACTAGATAAGGATAGCAATTGTTTACAAAAATAAACAGATATAACATGTTTCCTACCCTGGAATACTGAAAAAAAAAATCTTTTAAAAGACATTAATTTACAATCTGGGGACAGTATTGGTGGCAATAAATGTGCTATTTTTAAATGGAACGGTGTTCCTTGTTAGGATAATTTCATTACTCTCTTTCACTTTAAAATGACCCAAAGTATCTGACTCAGTATATAAGTGCAGAAGGTGATCCATGAATGGAGTAATAATTTGCCCAAACCATTTCAAGTGAGACCATGGAGCTGCTGGTCTGTCTGCAGCAACTTGGGGAGAGGAAGAGCTGCGCTCCACTTGCTGACAGGAAGCAAACTGGCTCACATTTTAGGAGAACAACATCATTGCTATAAAAATGAAGAAGAGACAAAATATATAAAACGGGTTAATGTTGTAGTTAACTTGCAAATCAAGTAAATCTGTTGGTACAGTATTTGAGAAATAAACGATAGCAGCATCACACCAAACACACGTTTCTGAACATATACGCATTCTGATTTTGATTTAATGGTATCTCAGCGTCAACTATTGCTTCCTTTGCTGGTACACACTTCCTGATGCCTACTGTGAAGGGTGCCCATATTTACAACTGAGTAAGATGATTAATTACACCTTGTCAATCACGGTGCATGAAGACATAACACCACAGCAGACAATGAAGAAGATGCCCGAAGCTACAATTACATTTTAATTCATAGTTTATTGTATGTTCCCATATATTGCAGTCTAATAACCGTAGGGGCATCGAAAACATATGAGATATCAATCACTCTGCCCCCTGGTCTTTCATGTTTATATTAGTGCGCAGTCTTTAAATTACCATAAGTAGTTGCTTATTTTCTAAGCTTTCTTCTCTTCTCTCTTACCTTTTGCTTCCATTTATCTTTTATTCTTAGTATCTTTATCCAACAGCTATAAGTATTTGATAGAAGTTTGTGGCTCACTTAAAATCTGTAACAGACAACCTGAAACCCAGCAATTAGCAAAGACAGCTTAGACTTGTGTTCCTTTGTTGAAGGAGGCGTTGAATCTTTTGTTCTGATTTAGTCACGGTAGCTGGGTGGAAGCTGGTACCTCATTATGTGGTTGGTCTGTTTGTCTGGTAGGTAGCAGATGGTACTGGAGATGACGTTACCAAGAGAGGCAGGGTAGAGAAACTCAAGACCTGTGATTTGTTCACCTGTCACCTATAACAAAATACAGGTTAAAAGACTTTATTATTAGCTGCACCATTTTTTAATGAAAAAACTCTCATTCCAAATGAGCCTGCATTTTATTCTGAAGACAATTTTGCTCCAGCAATTTTTCTGTGGCTCATTATTTGAAAGTATCCTTGATTTTATTCTGAACAATGTAAATGCCATTCATGTGTCAGTGTGTACATTAGCAGCTTTATGTTTACATTCTGTTTCTCTCCTTGTGTTTTGGTAGCAAGGGTTGGATGTCTTCTTGTGTTTGTATATCCATTAAAAGATAATCAGAGATACCCTGTGAACTGGAGGCCGTGCCATACTTTTTCAGCATGCTCTTGGTGTTACTGGTTCCATTCACTGAGGCAATTCTGTAACATAAAATACTGTACTTTAATTCTGTTAAATTCCTAAAATCTTTTTGATAATTAGCAATGTCAGAGTGTATACAAATCCATGACCTTTCTTGACTGCAAAACGTACATCATCAATTTGGTGATAGGGAATTAATCTGGTATTAGAACGGCTGAGGATAGCACGGTACACAGCTGTGAGAAGGATATCCGCAGCATTGCTCGAGCAAAGGTGGGCCAGTGCTGTCCCACCACAGGGTCCGTGGTGTCCGGTGAGCAGTGATCCACAGCTGCTCCTGGAGCCAAAGCTCCCGGCACAGACGGGGCTTGAAAACCTCTCGCAACTGTACGGAGGAAGGGAAAGATGATTTTGTCAAGATAAATACCATACAGAGCCACTAATGGTGCTGCAGGATTCTAATCTGAATTCAAATATGAATTTCCATTGTTTCCAAGGTTTGATTTTAGGACAGACTTTGGATAGTTCCCTCAGATGCCAAATTAGCTTGCATTCTGTATGGTTTCTTGAGGGGTCTTGTGGCTATTTCATATGCATTTCTACAAGAGACACTTTGTTCTCCTCTGTGACATGCAAATGGCTTTAACTACTCAGAGCAATCCCAACAGAAAGATGATAAGAGGTGTCAATTATTGTAAGAATGGAATGTATAAACCCAGCAAAGTTGGGCTATAAACAGAAGAATTCCAGTTTTAGCAAGGATAATCTTAACTGCACTACACCTGTAAGAGGCAAATCACCCTGTCAGAAAACAACACCTGATGGGAATGAGCAGAATGATGTAATAATTCATAGTCACGGATGAGGCAGCGAGTCTCATGATCTCAGATGTGCATTCAGATTTGCCTTCCGTTGTGCTACCTTTGCTAACATAATTAGAAGTGCGATATTTGACATCTTTAATACTAATTAGTCCTTCCTTACTACCCACCTCCTGGATAAATATTTAGGTATCATGAACAGTCTCTCTGTGCACTCTTTGTTTTTCCTGGAGAGTTTCTGAAGCTTTTTCTCAAGTTCAGAGACCTTCCTGGCCTGGTTTTCTTACAGTCTACTTGGAGACGAGAGATGCAAGAGGCCTTGGTTTGTGGAAGGCTCCACAAACCGGAGTGGCTCAAGTTATTATATTCCAACAGTGAATATTTTTCATAACGAGACTTATTGGGTGCGTTCAACTGGTCACGAATGTTTGAGGTATCGTGAAAGAAACTCTTGAACGCCTCCTTCTCGCGCGCAGGAGGAGTTGTGCCCCACAGCCTCTTCTGCCGACGGTCACCGGGCGACAGACGCCGAGCTCCGCGCGGGGCCGGGCCGCTGCCGAGGCCGCGGAGCGAGGGGACGGCAGCGCCGGCGATGGCCGGGCGGCCGGGCCCGCGCGGGGCCAGCGCCCGGCCCCGAGCACATGCCGGCGGCCCGGGCGCGGCGCAGCCAATGGCGGCGGGGCAGGACATGATGTCAGAGGGGCTGTAGAAAAGGCGCGGAGCCCCGCGCGGTCCCCGCGCCGCAGACGCGCCGCTCGCAGCTCCGCGGCGGCTCCGGCTCCGGCTGCGCTCCCGCCCCGGGCCCCGCGGGCCGCGCCGCTTGAAGGACACAGGGGGGCCGCGAGTGCCCGTCCCATCTGGTGCCCGTCCAACTCTTCCTCCTTCCCCTTGGCTTTTTCTTTTCCCAATGAGCTCCAGCGGGCTGGGGGAGGAGCGGGGGAAGGAGCAAACTTTGCCCCCGAGCTGCCGCCGCTGCCAGCCCTCTGGACTGTGAGTGCGTACGGTGGGCATCCGCCCCAGCCTCCCTGCAGCACCAGCCTGCTCTCCGCCTGCTGCAGCCTCCCTCTCCCTTGCTTTCCTGCTCCAAATTTCGCACAGTACGATGTAAGGGGCTTGTCGTAATTTTTTTTTTTTCCTAATACTTATTTATTTCTCACCGAAGATGGTTTAATTTTTTTTTTTTTTAATTTCTACTATTTATTAATCCCTCCCAACCGTAAGCGTGCCCAGCCTTCTGCCAGCTGGGCCAGAGCATAAAGCCTGGGACTGCACCTGGGGCAATGAGCCCTGCACTGAAGAAGCCTCCTAGAGAGATGTGCCGGGGCCGCGCAACAGACTAGATCCAAGCCCCGAAGCTTACACCACCAGTTATCCCCTCTCCCTCATCCCCTTCGCCCGCCTTTTCTGCACCCCATCCCTTGAAAGCTCGGATCAGTGCCTGCGCCGCGCTCCGGACAGCTCTGCCGGGGGAAAAACCCGGTGCCCAAGGAGAGACGGGGCGGCCGTGCTAGATGCATGGGGGAGGGCTCCGGTTAATGCAAGTTCTGGGCTCCTGCAGGGACCCCGACAACTGTCAGCAGCAACAGCAACTCGGGCCCTCCTCCTCTGCTTCCTCAGCGATGCTTTTCCACAGTCTTTCCGGCTCGGAGATGCACGGGGTCATCGACGAGATGGATCGGAGAACCAAAAGCGAAGCACCGGCCATCAGCTCGGCTATAGACAGGGGAGAGACGGAAACGGTAGGAGCCGAAGGAATGGGAGAGTCATACACCCCCCTAAATATACCAAACCCCTCACAGATAGAGCTTTTCCCCTAAAAGAACAGATCGGGGGGAAGCGTAAGCAAAATACGAAATCAGAAGAAAAATAAGCATAAAGGCACCCCAAAAGATTAAATGAAACCACGGGGATAGGCATGAAATTGTTAATTATTAATAATATGCATAGTAATAGTAACGCTTGGGTGAAATGAACGGTACTGCTCTTGTGAGAAAACAGATAGACCAGCCTTTTGGTAGCGTCCAAGAACTCCTTCCCTTCCCCCAGCCTGTCCGGCCTTCCAAAGTTTTTAGGAAGAGGCAAAGTGTGGTTTTATACCAATAACATTTTGGCACAGCAAATTTTTTGTCTGCAGAATGGGAACACAAACACCAAAGAATCCAATTCTGTGTTATTTTTCAGGTAGGATGCCTTCATGGAGATAATCTTTATAGCATTTATTTAAGAAGAAAAAACCAAACACGAGTATCTTTACGTTATGGGTTTTAAAAAATAATTTTAATATGTGGGTTTGTAAACATGGCAAACAGAACTAGAAGATATGTCTTAGGGAGGATGGATGGGAATTTTTATAACTTTACCACATTTCATCTTGTCTGCTGATGCGTAGACCTTGTATATTAATACATTTAGATAATAAAAAGATGCATCTAACTAGTCTTAAGCTGGCAAATTGGAAGAAATTTTCCAAGTGACTTAAGTGATTTAACAATTTATGTACACTTTTTTTTTTTTTTTTTTTTTTTTTTTTTTAAAATTGCAATTCTGAAGTGAAATTATCTCGCACGTTGGTTAAATGATGTCTTGTAAACTGATACAGGCATATGCAAGGAAGATCCGTTCTCAGGTTTTCAAACTTCATCAGTATGTGTTCTTTCTTGTAATGTTATGTGAAATTTGCTTAAAGGTGACAGTGAGACTATTTAATCTTGAAACACCGCCTGGAAAACGGCCTTTGTAATAGAAGGGTGGGATGCGATTTCTAGTCTAAACGGTTTTGGTTTTCTTTTTAAAAGTTACTATTTCTCCGTACAATTAAACAACATCCAATGGTCTTTGCTGGAATAAATATTGTGCCATGATATTTTCATATAACTGTGTATAATCTATATGGATACACGTGTGTATGTAACAAATAGTGGGTTGGAATACTGGATCCTTGAATACCATTTCTAGACGGCAGAATATTTTTGTTACTGGAAGAGCAAAGTAGAAAAAATCGTTATTTCATTTAAAGTGGATTTACAAGAAACTACTTTGGTTATAAAACGATCCCTACTCGGAGTTCAGTTAATGCCTTAAAGAAACAAGCTACCGGTGGGTTCCTGTGACTAACACCAGTGGAGTGCCAGGGTTTTATTTGTGTGGAGTTCTCCTAGTGGGAATGATGCGGTGCAAACGGGAGTGCTCACAGAGATGGGATTTTGCGATCCCCGCAAGCACAGGATGAAAGCAATGGGTTTGGCATGTGCTGGAAAATCAGCCTCGGTTCCTTTCGATTTCCTCCGATTAGCTGTCTTTGCTTTTGCTTTGCGCGAGGATTTAAGGCTCTAGAGGAGGTAAAAGCAAACAAACAACTTCTCCCCCGCCCCGAACCAAAACAAACTGCGTGTTGGGCACAGCTGTAAGGAAATGTTTCGGGTTCCCGTGCACAAGAACAGATCTGCCGTGGGCTTTGTGCAAAGCGGGTAAGAGTGAGTTGGGACCGAAGTGGAAAGCAGCATATTGCAAGGTCTGCCCCAGCCGCTGCTCCACCCGAGCCTCCTCTCAGAATGCTGTTTTAAGGTGCCTGCTGAAATAAATAAGCATGCTTAAACGGTTCCGATATTTCTCCCTCTTTCTCGTTCGGTAGAAGTCGACAGGATATGTATGAATTTGGGGTTTTTTGAGGGTTTCGATTGGATTGCGATTTGACACTAAACTATTAAATTATATAGGGCTTATATTTAGTTTTATTGCTTCCAAGTTTATCCCAGCATAATCTAATGTGCTCTGTTAGTTTTAACCCGCTCTCATTCCCACACGTTTCCCACTATTTCGTTTTCCTGATGAAACATTCTGCACCTCGGATTTAGTAACGCTCCTCTCCTCCGCAGCTTTATTTACTGATCCCTTTAGCGCTTTGGGTCACAGCAGATCGCGATCCGTGTTGTTTGGAACCAGCTTGCAGAGAGCTGTGTCTGCAGCACTGTGACTACTGGGGGTTTGATCGTAATTCATTCGGAATTTTATAGCTAAGAAAATACACACACAGACACGCTCCACATACACGCACTCACAGGGCATTAACTATGCAGACACTCTCAGTATATCCATAATTCTAAATTTTAAAATGAACTATCTGTGATTTGCCCTACCCTGTTATTATTGCGCCTGTTTATTGAACAGCGTCTTTTCTTGGTTTGAGACTGGAAAATCCACCAGAAAAAAAAAAAAAAGTTCTGGGTCTGGTCTGGACGCCTCCTCTAAAAGCCAGGGTGGTTTTCTGTTCGTCTCGCCCGCTTCCCCGCCTCCTCCCGGGAAGGTGGGATGCGGCGGGACCCTGGGGACCGGGCGCGGGGGCCGGTCGGGGTGGCCGGCTCGCGGCCCCCGCTCCTCTGCCAGGGGAGCAGCAGCTCGGCCCCGGCCGGGCAGGGGGAGGGGAGAGCCCAGCCGTGCTCAAGAGTTTCTCCCTCTCGCTAACGGTCTGTAATTGTTTTCCCCCAGCAGACCATGCCTTCCATCAGCAGTGACAGGGCTGCCCTGTGCGCCGGCTGCGGGGGTAAAATCTCCGACCGTTATTACCTCCTGGCTGTGGACAAACAGTGGCACATGCGCTGCCTGAAGTGCTGTGAATGTAAACTCAACCTGGAGTCCGAGCTCACCTGCTTCAGCAAGGACGGCAGCATCTACTGCAAGGAGGACTATTACAGGTACAGCCTGCCCTCGGCCGCCAGCCGGGGACGGGGACACTGCCCGCCGCTCCCCGCGCTGAGCAGACCCCGTCCTGATGAGACTGCCGAGGGGATCCGTGGGCACGCGTGGGGCAGGCTGTGAGCTCCCAAAACCTCCCCCTGGGGACTGAGACTCGTGGTGAGGATGGGTCCCGTGTTGCCGAGAGCGGGGCACGGCCCGGGCACAGCTTCCCCCCAGCCTGCTTTGGCTACTGGGGCCTTCACCAGGCGTGCCCTGCTCGGCCTCCTGTGCTGGGTGCGGGGCCGGGGCCCGCAGCGGGGCCGCTCCCCGCCCGCCGGCGCTGCCTCGTGCGGCCCGGGGGCGCGGGGACATTCGCGGCCCGGGGGTCGGTGTCCTTTTCTGGTGGGGTCTGTCGGGGCGGGAGCTGCGCTGCGAGCTGGGAAACGGGACGGAGACTCCCCGCGCTCCCGTCCCGGGATGCCCGCCCGGCTGGCCTCCGCAAAAGTCCCGACTTTGTGCCGCTGCCCCGGCCGTGGTGGCCGCCCCGGGGCTCGCAGCCCTTTGCCGCCCTCCGGGCAGAACCCACGAAGGACGGGGTGGGGGGGAATGCGCCTCTCACCGTCTCCTCTGGCCTTTCTGTCTTGCAGGAGGTTTTCGGTGCAGAGATGCGCGAGATGTCACCTGGGGATTTCTGCCTCCGAGATGGTCATGAGGGCCAGGGATTTGGTATATCACTTAAATTGCTTCACTTGCACCACTTGCAACAAGATGCTGACCACTGGCGATCACTTTGGCATGAAGGACAATCTGGTGTACTGCCGCCTCCATTTCGAGACTCTCATCCAGGGGGAGTACCAGGTGCATTTCAATCACTCGGATGTAGCCGCTGGGAAGGGCCCGGCTTTGGGAGCGGGCTCTGCCAACACTTTGGGACTGCCTTATTACAATGGCGTGGGGACTGTCCAGAAGGGGAGACCCAGGAAAAGAAAAAGCCCGGGGCCTGGAGCAGATCTAGCAGCCTACAATGCAGGTAAGAGACCCTTCCCCCAGAACAGCTCAAATGGTCTGTTTCTGTTCACTTCCAAAGGGGGATTTCCGTTTATTTTAGCTTAAACTGTTAATAATAGTTTAGCTGCAGCATAATTATTGAGATCAAGTGCTGTCAAACTGCAATTACAGAAGCTAATATGTTAGCATTTTTCACTTCAGCTGGAAATAAAATGTTTTGAAGCAAGGTCATCTGGTTAAGGGGGGGAAGAAGGGGGAGTGCAGCCTGAAATAAAATCTGGAAACCAGAGATTTTTAGTTAGCACTTCAGAGGCCCGTGAATTTTCTTTAGTAGCTACACTCTAAAGCTGCTGACGGGTGAATTTGTCCAGCCCTGTCCTGAGCTCTTGCACCCCAAAGCTTTGGGAGGAAAGAGAGAGAGGAAGTGGCCGTTTCCCAAGGGCTGGAGTGGGGGGCGGACAGGGGTGCAGGGCTGGCTGTGCCCGGCCAGGGGCCGTGGGCAGCAGGTGTTTGCAGGCAGCACAGAGCCTGCTCACACGGGGGCAAGTTCTGCTGGAGTTTTGTTCATGAGAGGTGACTCGGAGAAGAGTTGGGAAAGCAGCATCCCCTCTGCAGCCCATCGCTGCCCCGCCGCACAGCCCCTGCCCCTGAGCCGAGCCCAGCAGCAGGAGGAGCGGCAGCGAACCTGGCAGCAGCCGGGGCTCTCCGGATTCAGCAGCAAGCTTTCCGACGCGTTCCCTCGTTTAACCTCCCCACCGTCACTGTAATTTTACAGGCAAAGGAATTCGCGCAAGCTCCTGCCCCCCTCCCCGCCCCCCCATCCCCGCTCCCCTCTGCCCCTCGCTCCACTTCTCCGTGGAGCTGCCACCAGAACGGCTGCCATCCCGGCAGCTTCCTGCGCTGCTGCTCGCATGCAACGGGAAAAAGAAACTCTCGGACAAAACAAAATTCTTAGATGTTGGTTTTATTCGAGGACATGGAGGCGGAGGTGGGCTTCCCCCCAGTCCAGCGTTTCCCGAGCCGGGCGCTCGGGCCGTCCCGCCAGACTCTGGGCACCGAACTCGTTTCCCTGCGTCGTTCTGTGCCTCGGTGCCCTCTGTGCTTGTCCCAGCCTGCTTTCTCTTTTAACCTACCTGCTTCGGACGTGTCCCGTAGGGCATAGATTTGCCTTTAACATGTTCTTCTTTCGGTAAAGGCCAAGTTTGCTGCGGTTTGTTTCGAGCCTCGTCTCTGCGCGCCCCGCCAGCTGCGGGCTGCGCCGGGCGGCTGCCGCTCCGCCTGCGCGGGGAGGAGGAGGAGGAGGAACGGGGGGAGGAAGGCGCGGGAGGGACACCCACAAGTGCAGGGGCGGCGGGGAGCTCGGGCTTCGGGCCAGGGGAGGCAGCAGGGAACGGGAGGCTAACGGGAGATTTGCGCCTGAAGGGAGCGACGAAATGGGGTGGTTTGCACTGAAAACGGCAGGGAGCAAAGGCGCAACCCTAACCGGCAAACGCACCTCGGGAACAAATTTGCCAGCTATTATTGGTTGAACTAATTGCTGAATAATTTGGAAGTAGTGCAAAAAGCAGTAGTGGTCCCAGTGGTGTAGGTTGTTGAAAGGTGGATGTAGTGTTGTCGCGAGTAACAGTTCAGCTTCAAAACATGCATCAAATCTGCATTTCTTCCCGTTAAAAAACGTCTCCTTTTCGGAGGGATTAGCTTTTAATTGTCCTTCCGCTGTCTTCCTGTGCAGGGCAGATGTTCAGATTCAAAGGACCTGTAAACCGAATCAACGGCATCTGTCCTGGATGGGAGCACAGCCTGAAAAAGTCTCACTGCTCCCTGACTTCCTAAATAAACCGCCTTTAACTGCAATTTGAAAAATTCGTTTGCAAAATAATTGCCGTCCGACTTTTAATCGTTGGTTAGCCCGTGCAACTGAAACTTTATAGAGATCTTCTTTGAGTAACCTTTGGCTTCTTCGCTTAAGCTATTTATCTACTTAACTATTTACTAGACCTATAATCGACTAATTTATGCGGTAATAAGTGCCATTGATCTTGGAAATCAGACTGGGTTGCTCGTTGATGTAAAATTCCACAAGCGGGTAAATTATTGCAAAGCCTTGGATACTGTGCCTTTAAAAGATAAACTATCTAAAAATGTAATAGTTTCTCTTTTTATTTTTAGTGGAACTTGTCGTTTCCTTCTCAGAAATGCACTAGAAATGCACAGTGTTGTCCACTGAGGGGATCTGTTCCTGGTGATTTGTGTAGAATACTTTGTGTAAATAAATCTACACCCAGAGGTGGTGGGAAAAGAGGGACCCATAAACTTGGCAGAGTCGAGACTGAAATAATTTTGTAAATTGGAGCAAATATTCATCTGCAACACGAATTAGATTGCTTTTTTTTTTTCCTACTTAAACGAGACTCCGTTTTCAGGGGGGTGATGGGTTTAGATGTGGATAGAGCCTGACAAGTGGAAAATAGCTTAGAAGGATGCTGAAACTTCAAAAAGATTTCTTTTTCTTTCTTTTCTCTTTCTTTTTTTTTTTCTTTTTCTTTCTTTTTTTTTTTTTAAGTGTGTTCCTGTGATCATAATTTCCTCCTTCACTTGTTGGAATGGAGTTTGATGGGTTTTTTAGGTCAGTAAATCAATGGCTGAAAGCTTGCTGAACACAGAAGCACCTGTAAAGAATTCTGAATACTCCCTTTGTGAATTAGACCCCAAACCTCCCACAGTCTGCTATGTTTTATTCATTTGTATCCAGTCTGGCTTTAAGACACTAAAATATCCTGGAAAATGACAGATGTATTGAGCAAACTTGGGGCACGACGAGCTGATAAAATACCCATAATCTGTACAAACAGCCAAGATAGTAAGAAACATTTCCTTCCTTTGCTAGCAGGAAGATGCCTCGTGCTTCGCTGAGAGGGTGACGGAATATCCAGGCTGGGTGCACGTCCTCGGCGGTGGGGACTGGGCCGGGGGCGGCTTTTTGCCGGGGGGGGAGGCTGCGGAGGCGCCGACCCAGCTCCCGGCAGGGCTCGGGGCAGCGCCGGGACGCCTGGAGCTGACCCTCTCAAGCGGCTGTGTCAAAAGGGCTTTGGGGTTTTTTCTGACAAAAATGCGAAAAGCCTGGAAAGTTTGGAAGAGCGAATCCCTCTTTCCTCCTCGTTTCCCTTGGGACTAAAAGCTCACAAGAAGCTTCCCTGTGACTACTGCGACAGAGCGAGCAGACGGGAATCGCGGCTTAAAATCGGATGTCTTGCAGAGATTTCCTAGGAAAAATTAGGGTTTACCCCTTTACCACCCTCTTCTTGCTTCTCCCCCTTCTCTCCCTCCTCCCGGGCTGTGGTCACCTTTCGGGTCCCCGGGCGCATCTGGCCCCTCCCCGGGGGGCTGGGGCTGGGGTCGGGGCCGGGGCTGGGGCTGGGGTCGGGGCTGGGGCTGGGGTCGGGGCCGGGGCAGGGCTCCGGCATCGCTCCCGCCCCGGAGGGCGAGCGGGGCCCCGGGAGCGGCTGCGGGGCCGGGGTCCCTCGGGCAGGGCCGGGGAGCGGAGCCCGCTGCCGCCGCTTCCCCCGGCGGGGCGGGCAGCGAGGAGCCCGGCTCGGCCGGGGCTGCCCGGGTTAATCGCGGCGCTCAGGGACTGACCGCGCACTCGCACCGGCCATTCAGCGCCATTCAACTGGCTTAATTGAGGGGAAAAACCCTGGCGGCGGTTCCTCCCGCGGGGCCCGGGCCCGGCCGCCCCTCCCGGCCCCTTTGTTCTTCCGGCCCGCAGCCCCGGCCCGGCCGCGCTCCCCCCGGGGCCACCGCGGCCGCGGGGCCCCGGGCCTTAGGCAGCCCCGGGGGGCAGCGGGACGCGCAGCCCCTTTGTCCGAGGCGCCCGGGGAAGGCCGGAGGAAAAGGGCTCCTAATCCTGCTCTCCTCCGTCCCGGCCTTGGGATGCTCGGCCTGGGCTCCTTAAGACTCACTGGCTTTATCTCCTCAGAAACACTTCTTGAAATGTCAAGGTTGAGGCAGCGCTGTTGTGTCTGCTGCTCCATGGCTTGGCAGAGACATGCTCCTTTCAGTGCTGCCAGGCACCTCAGAAGCAGCCAGGGGTGCCTTGCTTGAGCCCAGTGCCACAGCTTCACCCCTTTTAATGCCTGTGGTGAGAATTTCAAGAATCTGCCTTCTCTATGTCTTCTCCTTCCTCCAAAGAGGAAGACTATGTCTGTTCCTGTCCCAAGTACCACTCCTGGGCTCTGTCTCACTTCTGTCCCCTTTGAGGATAAGGGTACTGCAAAGTCCTCTCCACGCTCCGACCAAACAGCAAATGCGGCTGCACCCCCGCCTGGTCTAGTTAATCACAAGTTCCCTCTCCAGGCAGCAGGAGGTTAAAACACCCCCTTGACTCTGCTTACAGAAGGAGAGGGGTGTACGTTCCTGAGCCACTATTGAGAGATAATGCACACATCACATGTCTCTTGTTTCATCACTCTTTCAGAATCAGGATTAGTTTTCTTTCTTTTGGCATAATCTAACATGTCAAGCACAAGCTACTAAGAACAAAATTTCCCTCAAAGGAAATTTCTCTTTCTCATCTTCATGTGCCATATCCTTAGCAACCTACTAGCTGCTAAGCACACACTTTGCCCCGAGTCCCAAGCCATGGGGGGCTCTGGTGATCTGAGGGTGAAGCAATGTTCCCAAGTTCTCCTCTAGCAGACTTTGTTTCAAAAGCACCAGCACAGCCTACTTTATGCTCCTGTTGCTGGGTTTAGGGAGATGTTTTGCATTAATCTGCAAAGGGTATTTTGGGTACCAATATCAAGGCTGTTTCCCTCTTCATCTGTAGGGATGCAGTGATGCTGCCTGTGGCCATCACGATCCTGTGGCCAGGGTGGGGCTGAGGGTGTGTGTGCTGCCACTGTTGCACCAGCGGAGTCGGGAGGACAGTGGCTTGGGTGTGGGTCTGGGGAAAGGCACAGGGCCTTAGGAATGTTCTAGGGTCAAAAAGAGACTTGGCACTGATTCAGAATTTGTTTTATCAAAAAATAGAAGCGAAACACTCATTAATTTAAGGCTCCTCTATTTGACTGGAATTCTACCAATTGTATTTCTGAAATCCCAGCAGGAGCCTGAGATACTGCAATGGAATGGAAATGTTACATATGGATAGTTCAGCAATTCCTTTGGGAGATACACAGGACACCACAAAAGAACAGGGAAGACAGTGCCTGAAAAACAGAGGGTTGCGTGAGGAGCATGTACAGTGTTAGTTTTACACCCTGATGCCTTTTGCAGAAGCTCCTCAGCTCTTAAAATCTCCACTTACACCCTTGGCCCGTTCTGTGTGTCTGTGCCTGCAACACCCATGGACATTGCAGATTCTGTGAGAGATGCAGATAATATTAGACTGAATAAAATAGCCTGTTGGGGATGGTGCCAGGCACCACAACCAAATACAAGAGGGGAATTGGCACCAGCCAGGACTATTTATGTCATATTGGGTGATGCCTGGGAGTAGCCAAACCACTTGCACAAGCCAATGAACAGCACACGCCCTCATGCACTTCCAAAATCTGTTCTGCAATTTCCATTGTAGACAAGGACATTTTGCCACTCTCAAATGGTACATGTTTACTGTCATTTTAATATTATTTTTACTTTGTAGATATTGAGGCAAAATTACGAGAAATTCCAGGAGTAAGTTGCTCCTTTTCCTATCAGGGCTTGATGAAAAGCTGACACCCTCATTCCATTCTGGGAGGGTTTAGAATCGGTTTTATATCCTTGGATTCTGAATGTATTTCCTTCTCTATGGGACACATTAAAATCCAGCTCCTTGCAGCCCTAGGCTTTGTTTTGTTGCATATTAACAGGAACCAGACCTCAGTCCTGCAGACAGATATTTTGATGCATTTCCTCCTATGTCTGTCTTCTTGTTTCTTGGAGGGTTCAAAAGTCTCTAAGATGATGCACAATGCTCTTTTCCATTACTAATATCTAAAATTCTTTGGGTACATTTTAAAAACAAGCATGATGTGGTTTTACATTTCCATAACATAATTTTCTATAAGCATTATTATGTTATTTATCCCTGTGCTCTTTATATCAGAAATTGTGGCTATGAAGGAGACTGGAGCACATGCCATGACTCCAGATGGGCAACTAGGTCTCAGATCTTAAACCCAAAAAGATCTGGCTACCTCCCAAAGAGCTCCATTACTACTCCATTCTTACCCTCTGCCTCTAAGTATCTTACACCTTTTCAATTCAGGTGCTTGCAGTTTTCCATGCTGCAGGAAAACAAGCAGAAATGCTTCTTATGGCCAAAATTTGGCACAAGATCCAGAGGTCTGGAAAGGATTTATACAAATGTATGCACATACACGCACACACGCACACAGACACATTTCTATATACAGTACCATTTTTCAGCTGCTTTTTAAATTATAGGAGTGCAGAAAGACACAGAAAACTTCGAGGCTTTGGACACTTTGGGCATATCTGTTAAACAAACAAGCTTTTGGGCTTAGAGCTGAATTTCTGCAGGCCTTGCTCTGTATTGTGCCACAGCTTTTTAGCAGGTTTTGAAAGGCTGAGGTTTGTAAAGCAGCTACTGTAGCTGCTGCAAACCTGCTTAGGGAACCTGCATGCATCTTCATTTAGGAATCTATCTGTGCATTTTTAAAATCTGATTTTAACACATGCCTGTCAGAATGTGTGTTTTCACTAGGGCTGAGACCCATTGATGGACAATGAATTCAAGTAACACTATACAGCTAGGTGCATGAGGTGTACTCAGTTTTAATTAAACAGCAATAGTGGACAATTGAAAACAAGCCTGTTCATGTTTTTAAGAAACTTAACAACAATTCCCATTCAAAAAAATATTTTGGTCATTTTTTGCATGCCATGTAGAACAGAGATGATAGCAATTTTTCATTACTTTTAGCATAAAACTTGTAGGAAATTAAGAGGGACTTGTAGGTGTTTGGACACAAAAAGCTAATGAACAACAGTTTGTCAGGGCTAATTTTCAGCTGTATTTCTAATTTTTTATTGGATTTAAGCTCGGTCCTTAATGTTATTTAAAGAGGGTTTCTATGGTTTACTATATACACAAATAAATGAAAAACTACTTTTGGTCTACAAGATTATTTTGCTTGGCATTCAATATTTAATACTACTTGATAATTTGTACTGTGTTCTTTTCCTGAAGACCTTTTTCTTGTGCTTGATTTCTGCAAGTGTTTCAAATAGTATCATTCCGTGATTTCAAAAGGATATGGCAGAAGTGATCATTCAAACTAGTATTTGCAAACACCTTTTTTTAAAAAATTGAAATATAAACATAAATAATTAAAATGATTTCTCATTTGGCATGCTAGTGAATATATTGTATTAACAGCTTTATTTCTTTAGCTAGTCAGATTATAGTTATAATTTGCTGTCTGGTAGCCACAAACTTTATTTCTTTTATAGTGTTTCATTTAATGGTCTCCCTTGTACTCTACAGGGTTTAGTTTGATGGAGGAAATAATTATTATTTTAACTAGTCTGTTCCATTGAGATTTAACTGGAGTGTATTGTGCAGCTCTCTTTGTGTGTTACAGTGCAATTTATGGTGATACCAAGTACAGTAAAACCCTTTACGGAGTTGAGGACAGCTACTGTCCTCCCACAGAAAGCTGAGGAAAAGTTCTGTGGAGGTGGAGCAGAGGGGAAAGGAAACAGAACTGACATTTTAAAAGCCACAGAGGGGAAGGCCAGGGTCCTTGCAGGCTGGTTATTGTGAGGGATTGCCTGGAAGGTGCAGAAATATGATCCAGCTGTGCCCAGGTGGGCAGGAGGCCAATGGCCCCGGGCTGTGCTCGCCCCAGCACTGGCACTGCTGGGGCACCTCCAGCGCTGGGGCAGCTCTGGGCCACTCATGGCAGGAGAGACCCTGAGGGGCTGGAGAGTGTCCAGGGCAGGGAATGGAGCTGGGGAGGGAATGGAGCCTCTCAGGGAGCTGGGAAGGGGCTCAGCCTGGAGAAAAGGAGGCTCAGGGGGGACCCTGTGGCTCTGCACAGCTCCTGCCAGGAGGGGACAACCAGGGGGTCGGGCTCTGCTCCAGGAACAGGACAAGGGGAAACGGCCTCCAGTTGTGCAAGGGGAGGGTCATGTTGGATAGTAGGAAACTTCCCCAAAAGCAGAGGTGAAGCCCCTCTCCTTGGAGAGATTTCAAAGCACTGTGGCACTTGGGGACACGGGTTAGTGGTGGCTGTGGCAGCGCCATGTTAATGGTAGGACACAATGACCTCAGAGGGCTTTTCCAAACAAAACTGCTCTACAAATCCATGAAACGGAGCAAAGGCAGGTAGGGCTTGTGCCAGCGCATGCTGTGGTGTGTCATTTTAATTGCTGCACTCAGGGAAATTGCAAACAATATTGGTTGTGGAGCAGGAGATTTACAGGCCTTTTCCTCTTGTTGCCTTAAGCTTTAAGTTGCAATGAAAACGATGGTGACCACCTGGACAGAGACCAGCAATACCCCAGCAACCAGAAGACGAAGCGCATGAGGACGTCCTTCAAACACCACCAGCTGCGGACAATGAAGTCATACTTTGCTATTAACCACAATCCTGATGCCAAGGACTTGAAACAGCTAGCTCAGAAAACTGGCCTCACCAAAAGAGTTCTTCAGGTAAGAGCTGTCTTTTGCCTTGAAAAGTAATCAAAATATTGATTTTCTATTTAAAAAGCCATGGCTTTTGCTGGTTTTCAAGATATTCTTAATAATCTGTACCTTCTCTAAGTTAATTTCAGAAAGTATGAGAAGAGTTACTTCTTTTCAGTTTCTCTCAAGCAGATCATTTGGGTTCTAAATTTTATGAGAATTGTGAAGGTTTGGGGCCCTGCTCGTTTTCCTGGAGTTCTTTAATTCTGGTGCATGTTTTAGCTTCCAGACTGCTGTACCAAAAAAGTGACTTAGTTAGTGTATGCACTGTAAATAGAGAGCTTTTAGTTTAGAAATTCAGAAAACATGTCAATGCTTAGCTTTGTAAGAAATTAATCAACAGTTTGAATTCATTTTATCAGGACAAGTAGGAGGGCTTTTTGTTCATAACTGAAGTGGACATAAATTAAATTTTTCAAAAACTTTTAGTCATAGTTTAGTAACTTAGAATGAAACAAAACTACATTTTAAAATTACTTTTACTTGTGCATGGGAGCACACTCCATTTGTGCTATTGTGGGAAGGAAAGGGAACAGTATTAGTTGATTCAGCTGCATTTTAATTTATAGTTCTGACTCAAGAAGTCAATTTTAATGAGCACTTACCCAAACGCCTGTACCTAGAGATAAATTTGGGCATATAGGAGCCATGGCATTCCAGGATTTATTGCTGAAAGTTTTAAATGGGTCTTAATTGTAGAAAAAGGATTTGTGACCTTCCTAGAGACAGGTAGGGCTGCGAGCCCCATCCGGGGAAACATCGTGGACAGCTCACAAGTCACAGGCAAGTGGAGGGCAGGAGACAACTGCTGAGGAAAACTGAATTCACTGGAGGGACCCTGCAGCTTTCAGAGCTGACACCTACCAGAAGAAGGAACAAAGGTTTTGTAGGCTTCCCAGTAAAATGACAAACTCTATGTAATGACTTCTCATCATAGCTGGATTGGGTTTGTTCTTCTGAGGCTGATTCAGACTCCTCTGGCAGAGGGAACATCCCAGCACCTGAGGTGGTGTCTCACAGCAACTGCCCTTAAACCACACACATGGCTGAAGTAATTTACTGCATTGGTCTATCCATAGACTGACCCTCCTCCTCTATTTTACCCTCAGAATTTAGACACGTTGGTAATACCAGGTGTGCCCATTCACACCTGAATTACCTGAGAAATGGCACATCAGTGTCTAGGAAGTGTCTTTGTGTCATCTTTCTGTTCTCTCTTGTCACTCCACACTAACTTGGATTTCCATCTCTCTCTTCTCTTTTCACTGAATGGGTCTTTCCTTGCGTCTTTTTTTTCCAAGTTATTGTCTCTGTTTCTTACTACTCGGAACATATTTCCTTGTCTCCAAAACTGGACTTCACCCCATTACTCTTCTGTTCCTCTTTCAGTTTCTTCCTTGCTTCACAGCTCCTTAATTTCATCTTACACGTCACAATTTGCAGTTTTAAGGTGCTTTGTGTTCTTTTGTTTGTTGCATAAATTTACAATTCCATCAAAGTTTTGTTATCATTTTGGTATTTGGTGTTTCACTTCTTTTACTGTCAGAGTTAAATACTCCTTTATGTTCAGACTCCTTTAGCTGCAGTGGTAGAAGATACATAGTTGGTGGTGAAGATTGTTCCCTGAGGATGATGCTGTTGGAGGCAATTCTAGAAAAGGGAGTGATACTTTCTGTGATACCACTTGAGTTTTCTCGCCTCTTATGAACACTCTCTAGTCATGGATGTTTTGTTTGAAAATTAATTTGGGCCATGAGAACACAAACTCGTATTTTGTATGTTATAGAACCTTTCTGCCCAGTTGGTTTATCTCTAGCTGTGAGTGACAATTAAGTTCACATATATGAGTTTTAGGGTTGTTCTTTGCTGGGAAGACTCATCATGATGTTGGTTACTGAGACAGTGTCACTTGTTAATTCTCTGGAGCCAGAAAGGCTGGCATTCCATCTGTGTCACTTATTGAACACAAAGTGATTCACTGACACTATTGATGGAAATCATTAGTGAAATCATCATTAGCACCAGCCTGTCCCACACCCCAGAGGTGTTTGCAGGTGTACAGGCACACTTGCCAGGAGCCAGAACTCTGCCACACTCCCTGATAGGTGTTTGTGAGCTGTGGGATTTTCTGGGTGCTCAGATCTCCATTCAGCTGGTGAGGGATCCTGGCTCTGTGAACACTTTTCATGGACTGTACTTTAAGAGGAAATGCAGGGAGCACATCAGGAGAAAGGTGTACTTCCTAAACACACCGAGCTGAGCTCCTGGTGATTTGGGGAACAGCACTGGTTCCCTTGCTGTAGAGACAGAGTCCCCAGAACTCTACAGAAATCACTGCATGCATTTGGACTCTGCTGGTCCAGTTTCCATTAGTAAATAAGCCTAAAATATTTCCATCCCATGTGCCTATGCTGCCCTTTAGTGAAGGTTTGCTTTAGGCTGCAGGCTCTTCCTGAGCCCCCATTCATTAAACATCTCTGTGACTGAACAGTTATTAATTACAGCAGAGTCATCACAATGTGGTGCAGTGAGTGAACATAGTCTGCTTTGTGGTGTTGCATCCTCTATGTTTTGTTTCTCCACTTACTACTTAGTGAAATTCAGAGAACCCAAAAGTCTCCAGGTAGCTGTGTGAATGAGCAAAAGTGGTGGAAAATTTGTTTTTAGCAGAAGATGTTCACACAGCTAATATGTAACAGATGCAGCAATGGAGGTGTTAAAAACCAGAGAATAAAGTTATCTAAGGTGATGATCCCATTAACTTCAGTATCCAAATCCCTCACGTAGTGTGTTTATTTTCAACACTCCCTTATTGTATGGAGATGTTATTTAATTTCTGTTTGACTTGGTGGAGACAAAGAATTTGTTCCACAGATCACTGAAGAGGGAGTGCAATCTTTTCATCTCAGTAAATATTATTCTGCCTAACTGCTGAGTGCCCAGCTCCACGCACCCAGCCCCGCTCGCCGGAGTGTGGGAGCAGCAGTGGTGGGTTTTGCAGCTGCTTTTCATTTTTCACTGGCAGTTTTGGTCTGTATTTTCCCCCTTGATTTGAAATAGCTCAGCCTTGTACTGATACAGTTGGACAGAAACCCACTAAATACTTCCCAATGATTTTGTTTATTTCTCAGTCCTGAAGGAATTGTGTAATTGATGTGAGATAAATCCTTCTGGAAGGATTCTTCCAGTTCTGTGTGTCTGGGTGGTTATTTCTGCTATGCCCTTCCAGGTGCACGGCCTGAGCTGCCCACGGGAGTGGCAGGGCAGCCCCGGCTCCAGCCCTGCACGCCGCTGTCCCTGCGGGGCTAAGGGCCAGGGCCTCGGGCAGGGAACAGCCCCACGGGCAGGGAACAGTCCTGGGAACAGCCCCACGGGCAGGGAACAGCCCCACGGGCAGGGAACAGTCCTGGGAACAG